AACTAACGAATAATAATGTGCATTTGATTAGATATAACTGCAGTAAAAGATTATAACTGCAGTAAAAGATTATGAGATGCATTATTTGAAAGCTTGGCCAAAGAGATGTGTGTCTGTTTAACACTCTGTTCGTTATCAGGAAGGCTATTCCAGAGTTTGGGAGCCAAATGCGAAAAAGCTATTCTACTATTATTATTACTATACACATTCTATTATTAACCCCCTATAACATTCAAGTCAAGTCAAGTCACCTTTATTTATATAGCGCTTTTAACAATACAGATTGTGTCAAAGCAACTGTACAGCATTAATTAGGAAAAATAGTGTGTCAATAATGCAAAGTGACAATAGTAAACACTAATTTTTCAGTTAAAGACAGTTCATCATTGAATTCAGTGATGTCAACATCCAGCTCAGTTCAGTTTAATAAATATCTTTGCATTCATGTCAACGATATCGCTGGAAATAAAGTGTCCCCAACTAAGCAAGCCAGAGGCGACAGCGGCAAGGAACCAAAACTCCATCGGTGACAGAATGGAGAAAAAACCTTGGGAGAAACCAGGCTCAGTCTTGGGGCCAGTTCTCCTCTGACCAGACAAAACCAGCAGTTCAATTTCAGGCTGCTCATCTGGTTCCTGTGGTCTTGTCCCAGTGGCCGTCTGAGACAAGGTCTTTACAGGGGATCTGTATCTGGGGCTCATCTAGTTGTCCTGGTCTCCGCTGTCTTTCAGGGCTGTGGAAGTCCTTTCTAGGTGCTGATCCACCATCTGGGCTATTGTTTATTCAATTGAAAAAACATTTTCAATTGAAAAATATTTTTAAACCTAATAGCAGTTACAATTGCTGGACATGTTTTGACCTATGTCTCAAGAATCAGTGAAACATTTATTTTATTTTATTAAAAAACAGTAGGCTATTCGTTCACAAAGAGTGTGATTGTACAGATTTGACAGAACTTGCCAAAAAAAAAAGTTTAAAAAAAAGTATTCAAGCAATTTTTTTGAATGTCCAGTAATGTTATTGATTATAATTGGGATATAGATATTGGTTAAAATCTACCTTCATCATATTATTAAAATATGATCATAAAACTAACTAGATTTTAATAACTGCTTGACTTAATCTAGCATTACATACACAAACAACCATTCCTGAGTTAATGTGGAGGTTTTCCATAGTAGTAATAATAGGATTACATGAATTTCAATCTCTAAGTACTCGGTGTTCAGTTTGTTTTATTATATGACACAATGGCCGTGTCTTAAAAACATATCGAGCTCTTTAGCCTCGATCCCTCGACAGCATTTTTGAGCATTACATACGCGTTCTGAACCAACCAAGTGATCTAGGTAGCCAGCTAACTAGGTTTTGAGACACCGCCCGTGTCTATGGAGGGACGACTGTCTGGGCTAACAGGAACCGAGTTAGATTATTTGTCTGTCGCTAACTGTCAGCACTCTATGGGTAAGGAAACATTTGAGTTGTTATGCGGTTTCTGTGTGCTAGTTAGTAGCTCATCTGTCTGAGTCATTTTCACTGCGCGAGATGATCCTAAAGTGCGAGTTAGCCCCTCATGCTAATGGAATCCAATGGCAACCGGTTAGCTACGGCTAAACTAATGATACGCTAAATAAACTAGGATGAACTGAACAGTTTCATTGCACACTAGATTATGTGCTGCACATGCTTAAATATATATTGTCTGCAAATATTGTGTTAATCCAAAAAGCCTTTTTGTGTGGACTGTCTTTGTTAGGACACCCGTTGTTTTGTGAAGCGATGTATTCGCGTATTATTTACGCGTGAATTGTTCATGCACTCAACTGTCACTAAGGGGGAGGGGCTATCAGACTCCAATTATTAATGACAAAATAACCTTTTAAAATTCATACACTATATGGTTGAGTACACAGTGCATATGTACATAGTGTGTAAGTACATAGTGTATAGTGTGTCATTTGGGAGTTAACCAAGTGTTAATCAGTCTTAGCCTACTTTTCAGATTCAAATTAGACCAATATACCATTTTATATAACGGAATAAAAAAAAGTTATGACCAGTCTTGAAGAAAAAAATTTGATAATTTGAAAGACTAGTCTAAGTACTGTAGTTTATGCAACTGGCCACAGATGCAACGTGGTACCTGGAAATATTATGTTTATGCCTTATTCGTTAATTGAAAAAAAGCTAAAATAAAATATAACATAAATATTCGATGAAAAACTTGAACTTAAAAACTTAAAAAACGTGGCAACTTACTGAAGTTAAAACTGATTACTAAACTGGATAAATTAAGGCTAAGTAAGTATAATTAATTAATTAATTAATTAAAATGACAATAGAACATAGCAAAATCACACAAACTTAAACTTAAATGAAAAATGAAAATATAAAAATAAAAGCTAATAATAATGGTATAAAAATAGTACAAAACTAACGCTGTTAAAACACCTTTTACGTTTTTTCAATTATTAATAAATTAATAATTTATATAATATTTATTTATATAAAATATAAATAAATATACATATGTGTTCGTAAATAGACTTGCATTCTTCAAGTATTTATCTCCCTCTCTCTTTCTATCTCTATATGAGAATTGAATTTTGAATATAGAAATATACTTTGATTCAATATTAATACTATGATTAATTATTCAAATAAAATGTAAAAACATCTAATATTTTACATTAAGCCAACATTGCTTTACAGTAATTGCAAGTAATTGCTTCAAGGAAACAGTAGTAAAAAACTAAGAAACATTACAAGCACTAGAACAAATAAAAACAGCTGTATCAAATGTTACAATAAATTAAAATTAAAATATTATTTATTTATTATTTCATATAACAAAAACCACAACTCTGTTGGTTACATGCTGCTAACTTGTGTGGTAAAGGAAGAAAACTACTTAAATTCACTTTTTTGTAAGTTCACTTTGAAATTACTGTTATATGTGATATTTTAATATTGTTAATATTATATTTATTGTTTTAATATTCTAAAAGTGTTTTTGTTATGACTCTTCTGACAACACTACCAAATACTGTAGAAAGATGATATAATACAAATTCATTGTCATTTCTTTTACTTCAGTATTAACAATTTATTTCAATTAATTGTTTATATTACTAACAGATGATCTTTTTCCTCAGACTGTCAGGGACCATGTTCAGAGCCACGCATGCTTGAGGACATTACGCTGTGGAGTGTGCCAGCTGTCTCAGCCCTCTCGATGCGCCCTCCTGTGGCACACACTGACACACCTCTTTCCTATTTACACTTGTCCACAATGCGCCAGCCCCTTCCTGGAGAGCACGCTGCTGAAAAGACACCTGTCTCTACACACAGAGGAAGGAGCGTCGGTGAAACAGGATGACGGCAGCCCAGAGACCAGCGGAGAAGGCCAGGCCGAGCTGCGCTGCTTCCTGTGTCCACAGACCTTCCGCTCGGAAACCGCGTTTCATTACCATCTCAGCGTGCATTCGAACGAGCTCCAAGGCAGCCAGGTATGGCCGGCCAAGCGCAAGGGGGACCAGCTCCTCGAATACTCCTCATCCTCCTCCTCACCTATGGAGGCGAGCGGCTCGGGTAAAGCAGGTTACAACTTAAGCCTGGGCTTCAGCATGCAGGACAAAATGGCTCACGGTGGCGCCTTGTTTCCTGCCGGACTCGTACTGAACGGTAACTCTGGTGGCGGAAGGGAAAAATTGTATCGCTGTCGGTATTGCGGTAAGCATTTCGCACACTCGGGCGAGTTCACCTACCACCTTCGCATCCACACGGGCGAGAAGCCCTACCAGTGCAAAGTATGTATGCGCTTTTTCCGTGGCCGTTCCACCATGATCTGCCACCTAAAGACGCACTCGGGCGCCCTCATGTACCGCTGCACCGTCTGCGGCCTGTTTTTCTCCACACTCAAGATGGTTTCCTCGCACATGGAGCTCCATAAAGACCAGCTGCCGCCCGATTTCAACATCGAGGAGACCTTTATGTATAATGACCACTCTAAAGAGCCCGTCCCAAATATGGACACCTGAAAGTCGCCCTCTCTTAACGCTCCGTCACACTGTGTGCCCACGTTTACAGTCGTGGCCAAAAGTTTTGGCAGTGACATAAATTTTGTGTTTTGCAAAGTTTGCTGCTCAAGCTGTTGTGGAATTCATTCACATTGTTTCTAGATTATTGTGTAGAGTGATCAGATGCGTTTTAAATAATTGCTAAAAGCTTCATTGGCCAAAAAAATGAACTTTTCACACAAAAAAAAAACAAATTTCACTGTTTTTTGATCCTGACACCAAATGACCAGCTAATATTAAAGCTGTGCATTGTGAATGAGTACTAGTCAGGTGAAATCACTATCATACTAATTAGATTGTAAGAGCAGACTGATTGCTATAAAAGGAGGGAAGAAGCACTTCCAATCATTATGTTTTTGTTAGCAATGGTTACCTCCAAAGAAACACATGCAGCCATCATCACTTTGCATCAAAATGGCCTCACATGCAAGGAAATTGCTACAAAGAATATTGCACCTGAAAGAACCAAAGGGCAGCAAAGAAGCCACTTCTCTCCAAGAAAAACGTCAAGGACAGACTGAAAAATTTATTTTCTCTGATGAAGCTCCCTTACGACTGTTTTGGAACAACTGGAAAATCGATTGTTCGGAGAAGAAAAGGCGAATGCTACCATGAGTCCTGTGTTGTGCCAACAGTGAAGCATCCTGAGGTCATCCATGTGTGGGGTTGCTTTTCAACCAAGGGAGTGGACTCTCTCATAATTCTGCCCAAAAACACTGCCATGAATAAAGAATGGTATCAAAACGTCCTGCAAGAGCAACTTCTTCCAGCGATCCATGAGCAATTTGGTGATGATCCGTGCATTTTCCAGCATGATGGAGCACCATGTCACAAAGCAAGAGTGATGAAGAAGTGGCTCGAAGATCATTACATTGAAATTTTGGATCTGTGGCCAGGCAACACCATGGCTCTCAATCCCATAGAGAACCTGTGGTCAGTCCTCAAAAGGCGAGTAGACTAACAGAAGTCCACAAATTGTGATCAACTCCAAGAACTAATAAGGCAAGAATGGATCGCAATCAGGCAGGATTTGGCCAAGAAGCTAATATCCAGCATGCCAGAGCGAATTGCAGAGGTTATGAATAACAAGGGTCAACACTGTAAATATGACTCTTTTTTTTTTGCCAATAAAAACCTTTAAAACTTATGATATGCTTATCATTGTTTTTCAGTATACCATAGAAACATGTGGAAAAATAATCGACAAATACTGAAGCAGCAAACTTCGCAAAACACAATTTATGTCACTGCCAAAACTTTTGGCCATGACTGTACTCCTTATGTTGTTGAGGACAAGCAGACTTAGAATGTAATTAAGTGTTTAATGTGATCGTCTTTGTGTCGTTTGTGTACAGAATGAGAACGGTTCTTGTTTTTTAAAGACTAAAGGTAAAACTTTATTTTAAAAATGTAGTTCTGATACTTGACCACTCGATGGCAAGAGAGACTGAGCAAAGTTGCATTACCAATCAAATCTTTGGACACGCCCTACTCATTGTTTCCAATTTTTCTTTTCTTCTTTTTTTTACATTTTAGAATAATAATAAAGTCATCAAAGCTACGAAATAACAAAACAAAAAAAACATCTAATATTGTAGCTTCTTCAAACCTTTGCCAAGAACGTCATGAGACAGTGTTTGAACACTATTAATGAAGTTTACACTTTTTGGCTGCTTTTCAGTCACTATCATTTATTTAAAAGAAAAATGTTTGTTTTGAAAAGAATTATTGCACAGATTCAAGTTATATGTGTCTTCAAAGCCAGTTTCAACCATTTTAAATATAAGCATTTAGATCAAAAGATTTAAGATCACAGCTAACAAATTCAGTCAAGTGTGAAATTCAGTCAATTTTTAACGGCTGCTGATCTACGATTACCTCTATATACCCTTCCGGCAACTCTATCACAATAAGCTACAGGTCTCTGGTTATTCTAGAGAAGCACAAAGTAACCTTTGTCCGTACACAACGCAAGTGCACGTTGAGAATAAACCAAGACTTTTTCTACGTTTTCTGATAAATAAAGCAGTACTCTAGGTCAAGTATATAAATAAAATGGTTCTTTAAAATAAATGAAGGTACTCTTCTTTTACAGAATAGCCGTTATTTTTATAATCGTGTTGTGTGTCATTGACATAGACTAAATTAGAAATAGTTACTGGTTTATGAGATGCAGTGTAATATAGTTTGGATGTTGTACATAAAGCAACACTCTTCATATGTCGTTCATTTCATTCGGAAAAGAGAAGCGATTCAGACTGAGGTGCTAATATATCAGTCGGTTCATATGTCAGTGTTCACCTTCTTCAATTGGGACATATCAAGAGTGTTTCGTGCGAATGGTATTGTCATGAATAAATGACAATTCTCTTTAGAAAGCTGTGATGTTCTTCTGTACCATTTTCCCAGTAGTTATATGCGTGTTCTTTCTTATGTGGGACAATTTTACATTGTACATTTAAATAATTTTTTGTTCAATTCAAAACCGATTTGGCACTCATAATTGATGTCGTCAACCCACAAAGTATGTATTCAAAACTGCTGGGACATTGTGGTTGTTATAGCTTTATCTGCAATGTAGCACAGAAAATACCATCTGAACCTTATAAACTGCCTGGTTTTATCAACTATTTATCACCTTTATCAATCAATCAGTTTTATTTTTAGGGGAAAAATGCACATTCGGCGATTTGCCAAGGTTTGCAGCTGATCTGATGTTGAATATGAGTTGTCATACTACATTTTATTTTTAACATGAAACAATTGCCTTATATCACTTCAGTGTTATTTATATGATTTATTGATGTTCAATGTCACTATCAGAAATCTGTTCTCTTTTACTACAGCTGTACTTGTTTTCTGAATAAAAACAGTACTTACAAAACTTGTCGGAGTCTTGTCTTTTTAACAGTGAACACATAATTTGAACACAACCCCACCACTTATCAATGTTAATTACAGTGTATTTAGATTCAACAAACGTCTACAAATTTCTACAATGGAAAATATTTTTTTAGACATCGGAGGTGCACATTCTCAAAAGAAATGGCATACACAATTTTGCCCCTTTTGCACAAACATGTTTAAAATACTTCTTTAAAGCAAATTTTATTCAATTTTTTTCATGACATCACAACCATGACAATATATACAAGCAAGCTTCTGAGCTCAAAAGCCATTAAAACAGCTCTAGGTGTTGTGATTGAGCATATGGAGAGCTAAGTGAAAGTTTTTGTTGAGCAGAACAATCAAAACAGTCTTTGTACAAACGCTGGCATGTGGACAGAGCTTTTATTACTTATCTAGGAGTTCCAAGATGTGACAATAGGAACCGGTGGAAATAAAGGTTACGAAAGGTTGACAATATTTCCTTCCTTGCACTGTTAACAATACTGAGGTGAGAAAAACAGGACACATTAGGGCTAGTTATACCAGGAAAGTGACCAAAAAACATCCGCCTCAAGGCCACTTCTTTCGTAGCTCATTCACGTGCTGTGTTTCACCAAATCGTCATTTAGGAGTTTCCCTCTTCACACGCCAATGTCGGAGTGACTCGTGCTGGTGTTACTGCGCTTCCGCTCTTTTACCGCTGTTGTCCCTGTCTTGTCGGTTACAGCATTATTTGGCGCACTGGTCGGCTGTAAAGAGATGCGGCTGATCACTGCGTTTATTAGATTGTTGCGGAAGCTCTTACTGAGGAAGTTGTAGAGGATTGGGTTGGCAATGCAGTGAAAAAGTGACAAGCATTGCACAAGGCTAAAAGAGAAGTACAGCACCCCGACCATGTTGCAGGAGAACAGGTGTGGGTCCAGGTCATCCACTGTCAACAAGAACAAAACCAAATGGTACGGTAGCCAGCAGGCCACAAAGACCAGCGAGTACACATGCACCAGCCACACATCCCGACGATTCTGGACTTCTGGGGTTGTGCGGACGGCACGAGCGATCAGGACATTGCAAGTGATGATGACAGACGCCGGACCCAGGAACTGGAATATCAGACAGAGGAAGGAAACCGATACAAACCACTCTGTGTAGTACTGCTCGGGAACCATATAGCAGCCCGGTTCATCCCACTCTAACAAATCAACGTGGACATTTTCTAGCAAGGCCAGAACAAGCGACAGGAGCCAGATCCCGGCGCAGAGAAACCAGCGGCGTTTGTGCTGCGCTGGGAAGCAGGCGGGCTTGTTGGGCCGTGTCAGGGACAGGTATCGCTCCAAGGTCATGAAGGCCAGGAAGAATGAGCTACTGTAGAAGTTTATGATGTATACAAGGTGCGTGACCTTGCAGAGGAAGCGGCCCCAGAGCCAAACCTTGTCCATGGTCACCTCCAGCATGAAGAAGGGCATGGTGAAGATCACCATCAAGTCGGACAAGCTCACGTTGATGACGCAGAACAGCACGCCATTCGCCGAATGCCGCCTTCGCCAGTTCACCCACACCACCAGGGTGTTTTCTGCCAACCCTACCATGAAGAGCACTAGGTAAAGGAGGAAAAGAGCGATCCGTCGGCCATCCTCGTCTAGGTGGATGGTGCAGTCGTAGACAAACCATGGCGTGCCATTGTAGAAGTCATACGAGGAGTTGTGTAGATCGTGCGTCATGTTCTACAGACGGAAAAGACAGAAGAGTTTGTTAAAATGCTGTTTACAAGGATTATACTCTTAAAAATAAAGGTGCTTCACGATGCCATAGATAGAAGAACCTTTTGTCTAAATGGTTCCATAAAGAACCTTTAATATCTGAAGAACCTTTCAGTTTCACAAAAGGTTCTTTGTGGTGAAAGATGGTCCTTCAGATTATAAAAAGGTAAGAAAGAGATGGTCCTTAAAAGAACCTTTGACTGAATGGTGCTTTGTAGAAACAAAAATGGTTCTTCTATGGCACTGCTGTGAAGAACCTTTTAAAGCACCTTTATTTTTAAGAGTGTACCTTGAGCTATTGTACAAGTAAATAAGTACTTGCTGAGATGAGAAAGGCCAAAAAAATGTCCAATACAAAATCCTCTAAAAGTGGACAACTCCTCTGCAGAATTTAG